TTTCAAAGGAGGAATACAGAGCTCTGTGTGCAGCCTGGGGCCAGCGGGAAGTCCTGCAGACTCCAGGCTGCACGCTGCATGCCAGCTTTGAAACGTACAAGAGTCCTGGGGCTCTTGTGTATTTCAAAGCAGAAGTGCCCTCATGGAGCATGGGGGCAGAGGGGGACTCAGAGTCCCCCACTGACCCATGTTTCACCTGGTGCTGCTGCTTTGAAGTACCCCCCTTCCTCCCGCCTTTGCTGCCTCCATCTGACAGAGGAAGCAAGGGGGGAGGGAATCGACTAGTCGATTGGACTATCTGGACTACTTATCGGATAGTCAACTAGTTGACTAGTCCTTAAAATCTTTAATGGGGACCATATAAGTGTCCAAAACAGACTGCAGAGAAATCACTGGTATCTAAGAGCTTGTCTATACTTCTGGCTAAACTAGCAGTGCTGCAACAGTGTCAAGTTAGCGATTCTGGTGAAGACCCACTCAGTCAATGGGAGTGTCACCTGTCTGTGCACCCCCTCCCTGAGAGGCAGAAGGTAAGGAGCATCTAAGTTACAGTAAGTTACCTATCTCATAGAGCTGGAAGGGACCTTGCGAGGTCATAGGGTCCAGTCCCCCGCCCCCACAGCAAGACCAAGTGCCATCCCTGACAGATTTACCCCAGATGGCCCCTTCAAGGATTGAACTCACAACCCTGGATTTAGCAGGCCAATGCTCAAACCACTGAGTTATCACTCCAGGTCGACTTACAGATTTAGTAAATCCAGCCCCAAAGAGAACGTAAGACTCAGGGGACTTGATTTTTTATATTTGCCATGTGAGCCTATGACTCCGTAAAAGAATAATAATAATAATATGAATAATAGATTCATAAGCACCACCATGAATTACTGGAATTACAACAAAGGGGAATATATATCTGCCTACATACATACACACAAAATGAATCTCTGAGTAGAGACATATCTCTAAGGAGAGATTCCAGAAGACTGGAAAAGGACACATATAATGCCCAGCTATAAAAAGGGAGATAAGAACAACCCAGGAAACTACAGACCAGTCAGTTTAACTTCTGTGCCAGGAAAGAAAATGGAGCAATTAAGGAATTCATCTGCAAACACCTGGAAGAAAATAAGGTGATAGGTAACAACCAGCATGGATTTATGAAGAACAAATCATGTCAAACTAATCTGATAGCTTTCTTTGATAGGATACAGCCCTTAATTCGAACTAGGCGTTACTCCTCGTAGAATGAGGTTTACCTAGTTCGAATTAAGCGCTCCGCTAGTTAGATTTAAATTCAAACTAGCGGTTTGTATGTGTAGCCCCTATTAAAGTTAATTTGAACTAATGGCTGTTAGTTCGAATTAACTTTGTAGTGTAGACATACCCTAACTTCCTTCTCAAGTAGACACATCCATGCTACCTTCAACAGAACTAGCGTGCTAGCACGCTAGTCATGCTGTACAGGCAACAGGGCAGGCTAGTTATCCAAAGTACACACATAGGGTTTCAGATGGAATCATCCTCAGATGCTGTGATGGCCACCCTGCTAATTTTTGCATGCTACCTCGGGTATGTCTGCCCACGCTGGAAATGACAGCCCCAGCTCCAGTGTAGACACTGCCCGATTTACCCGATTGCACGGGTTCTCAGTCTGGGGCTCCTAGCTGTCTTGGCCATATTGGTAACTGGGAAAGGGATCCCAAATAAATCCAGCAAAATGGCAGAAGGGTCCAGGAAAGAGGGCTGAGGTCTGGGAAAGGCTGAGAAATGCCTCATGGTCGGTAGTAGTTTCCTTGCATTGATAGGTTTTCATCTTAACCTTGCTAGCAACGCTTTTTGTACTGAATTTGCCTATGCTCTATTTATTTATTTTTTAAAACCGCATAAGCATATAAAAATGTTGGGCCTTATTCTCCTCATAGCCGTAGTGGTGTAAGTCAAAGACCCTCACTGAAGTAACTCCCATTTTATACACTTGACAGAAAGCTGGTTCTGGTCTCTCATACTTCAGAAAAATCAGGCCATAAACACCTGTATTTAAACTTCATAGGGTCAAACTTCAGATAAAAATACACACACATAATGAACGTTAAGTGATGGCTAAGTAGATATTGTGAGATTAATGGTCTCAGCAATGAGATCTTCACAAGGGTCAAATCCCTTCAAGAAGACTTATCACCACATTATCGTTGCACCCTTTCCTTTTTGAAGCCCCACATCTTTCATTTACTCAGATTTCTAAACATCACCATCTGTGTTCTCCTAAGAACCTTCACTCCTCTAGCTGCTAAAACTAATCTGCAAAGGGATTTCAGACTAGAGATGGATGGGTATTAAATTAGAGGCCAATTCATTTCACCAGTGGATAATCCCAATTACAGTAGCTGCTTTCACTGGGTATCAACTTTTCTTCCAGGAAGAAGGCAAAAGATATGGGGTTCCCCTGGCTGCTGACTGTGTAAAAGGCAACCCAACACCCTTGTCTAATATTCACTGCCAGTTAACACTGTGCAGATCATACAGTCATTGGTACTGCTGCGGAAAGAACAAGAGCAACTGCTTTACCAGTGAACTGAACAGATCCCAGCGGTTAGCCCTGGGGAAGAGAGGAAATTCCAGGGAAAGCTAATGCAATACTACACAGCAAGTCTGATCTGGGGAGAACAGCAAGGGAATGAACTCTGGAGAAGGGTCCAATGGACTCGCTTTTATTGTTCTCGCTCACTTTCGTTCTTCTCTCCTTCAAATGCTAGTCCCCCTGCAAATACAGGGGGTTTCCTAAAGCACTCTGAGCAGCAGGATTCCCATGGAAATCAAGGGTTACACTCACAGTCAGTCAATCAGAGCAGAGCTGGGCTACACAGCGTGCTTCTGAAAAACCCACTGCTAGTTTTTAAATGAACTAATTGCAAGATTGAGTTCTGAGAGTCCCACACTTAGGGGGAGGGGAGAAAGGAGAAGGAGAGGGAGAGGGAATGTCGCACACAAGTGAACCAATCATTTGCTTTCCTTTGCTTCCTAGTCCCTTGAATTCAGGCCCACGTGCGTTCACATTCCTTCCGCAGCTGGTGCTGACATCACAGCAGCTGGGGAATCTTACTGGAGCCAGTAAAGGGTCTTCAGGCAAACGAGGGAGGTACAGTACCATTCGACTCCAGTGACAATCACTTGTTTGTCCCCACCCCTCAAAGCCCCCATAAGCCAATTCCACACTCCAGCAACGTGTCACTAGGACCTCTCAGTATGGCGAATTCTGGAGCATCACAGGGAGTCGGAAATGCTGCCTCCTGTGGCAGGATTGTGAAACAAAACGAACAGCAGCTCAGAATCCCTTCTGAACTGGCTGCTATGGGGGACATTCCACGCAGCCTTCATGCCAGACAAGAGCATTCATGAGTCCCATCTTCAGCCTTCTGCTTCGTGCTTTCACTCTCCATATCATCTCTTTGTTTCTTTTTTAAAGTGGACAGGGATGGGCTTATTTTCATTTCAGGGGAATGGCTGCTGTTTAGTTCAGCCAGGGGAGGGCTCAGTTGCTGCTCACTATAAGCATTTCCACCAGCACTGACTGATGCTGGTGAGCCACCCAAATTATTTTTGCGTGGCTCGGTGCCTCTATTTCAAGAATCCTCTGGGTAAAATGACAGGAAGCTTGCAGGCAATTTTAAGCCAAACCTCAGAAAGACTGGCTTTCAGTCAGTGCCCTGTGCGAACTGTGTGCGTAACTTTGATATGTGCATGAATCAAAGAATAAGGGGCATGTTTGCAAAATCAATTGTGCAGTTTTTATATTTACTGCACGTTTACCACATATGTCATTTATTACACAGTGGAAAACCGTTAAATGCACAGTAGTTGTGCCAAGCGGCATTATGCTTTTAACAGCTTTATTCGTTTAACAGCTCCAGTTCTCATTATATTTTGCCATGTGGTATATGAGATTTTTATGCATTTAACAGTTTTAAAGGGTTCCATGATACTTTCCTTTTATGTATTTCATGTTGTGCCTGTGTGTGTGTGTGTTGGTTTTGGGGGGTTGTGAGCCTGCTGGGGGGGGGAGGGGCTTTGAGCTGTAACCCATGTAAGACAACCAAGGGAAATAATGATTAAGAAGGAAAGGAGAAAATGAAGAAAGGAGAAAGGAATCAGCCTATGCCAGGATATAAATACATATAAGGGTAAGGCTCTTCAAATGGCATCAAATGCCTTATTTAGATGCCTTTTCACATTTTAATCAGATTTATTTTACTTCAGTTTGAATACGACTGTTTTCTTTCCTGAAGGAACATATATTTTCCTTTCCTTCAGGCAAGAAAACAGTTGTATTCAAACTGAAATAAAATAAATATAAATTGTATACTTACCTATGTTCCATTGAGTTCCCCAGTAGGTAATTTTTGCATCCAAGGTTAGAGGTAGTCCAAGTGAACTGTTAGCTCTTCTCTGCCCTTCCCTCCCCCTCCTCCTTCCCCTGCCATTCCTCCCTGTACAATGACAAGGGCTGACAGGGAGTGATTTCAAATGCACAGTACACTGTATATACTATATACAGTGTATATAGCATACTATACACTGTATATAGTGCATGTAAAACAGAAATACCTGCCTAGGCTACAGTTTCCTATTATTTTTCCAGAGTTAAGCATTTAAGAAAACAAAGAATTTATCTTTGAGATGAGGATTTTTGGAGTGTTCTTATTCAACTACCAGAAATTTTAGGTTACATGCTACAATGGGGAGAGAGGAGTGTGTGTCTGAGTTATAGGGCTCCAATATGTACAAAAAGAAAATCCACTACCAGGGATCATGAACTGATCCCTTTTCCATCCTACTTTAAAAGGAAAAGAAAACTAGCTGGGAGGCAAAAGACAAAACACGACAGGTTCCCCAGAGATTATTATTATTGTAGGAACAGATGTATTTTTATTTGTGGGAGGACGAGAAGTATCTAATCCCAGATCTAGAATTTGCTCTTTAAAAAAAAAAAAAAAGGAACTCACCTGACTTTTATTGGCAGCCACTTTGGCAAACAGGGCCTGAGACACTTTGGCCCTTTTCATCTCCTGTTGGATCTCGTCATAAATGGCAGCTGTGATGTTGACGTTGGCGCCGTCCACCTTAATGGGGAGGTCTGTTGTCGGTGTCGAGGTTTTGGCCTACCAAGAGACCATGAAAATAATAATTAAAAAAGTGCTGCTTTCAGCCCAGCCATCTGTGCAGAAATTATCAAAGGATTTCAGTCAGCTGATGCCAAACTGCATTAGCTACAGAGGGACACTTCCTGTCCATTATTCTAATCAGGTTAATTGTGATTGGAAATAATTGCTGTGCATTCCTATAGGACGTGCAGGGCCCTGTCAACACTGCCTCCCCCTTTCCCTCCTCCACCGGCGTGTTTACTGAACAGCTCAAAGACGGGATAGGTAGGCAGGCTGGGACTCTAGGCTGAAGGCAGGCAGACAACTAAGTTTGTTCTGCTGGCCTACAAATGCAACGTGTATGTGGGGATGTGCCTTTTTTCCCTTTTGTTGTTCTAAAAATGGCATACCTTAGAGGAAGAGTCAATTCTCCCAGAAAAAATGAGTAAATGGGTAGAGGTCTCTAAATAATAAATTATTACTCAATTTAATGCACTCCCTCAAGTCTCCCTCATTCTTTATTAAAGCTATACATATGTCATTTGAGTATGTATGGTTTCCCATCATTATCATCATTATGCTAGCCACACAGTCACCTAATTTCACCTAGGAAATCAGTAAAAAATGAAAAAAAAATCATTTAATAAAGCCACGCTTTGGCAGGCTTTTGATGTGCTGCTCTCAGACTCCTAAACTCATATTGTAATTTTGTGTATTCTACTGCAATCCTTTTAATTGAATGATTTCCCATCAGCTTCTGTGACAAATGAAGGACAATAACTGAGGATGCCAGCACTTCCCCAGACTGGGCTAACCCTAAAAGGTTTGTACCAATACAAACCACCAGGTTGCTGCAAGATTTTTATCTTAACCTACTCAGCAGCACTAAGACTTAAGTGAGGAGTAACAGGCAGAGAATGACATGCTCTTCCACTGGTGATCTTACAGTGGGACACTCAGTCATCTGCATCAGCAGTGTCAGCTCCTCAGATTTCATCCACTTCCAAGAGACCAAATACCAGAGCTATTAGAGCTGAAATAAACTACGCTTATAACTCAAACAGCTCACCCTAGAATCCCTGCGCCTGACAGGAAGAGCCTTTAATGAAAGAATGAATGCCAAATGTACAAATTGTCTATCTGCTATTGAAGCTTGGGAAAGAGATGAGCCAAGTGGCACATTAGAGACCGAATCCTCCCCAAAAATTCTCTGCGTATGTGTGCTCCATTCTTAATTTTTGGTTCAGCCCTTTATAAATATTTGCAGGTGGCCCAGGCCTTCATATCTGGAATTTTCCAGAGTTTAGGGAAATGTTTCCTCTAATCTTTTCCATCCATGTGTGGATTTTTTTTTTATGTACATCAAGGCATGAGTGAATGTGCACCACCAGTAGAAACAAAAAAACTAGGTATACACGCTGGGAGGCATTTGAATCTCTCCTGAATAGCTGCACAAAGTGCATTGCTTACAGGGAACATTGGTTTGGAGTACTTTTGATGGGGTTTGTGTCCAGGCACATTTCTAGTGTGAATTCTTAAATGGACAGAACTGCCTAACTGTCCGAATGTTAACAGAAAGTGCACTTAGGCTAATCAGAACTTTTTAAGCTCCCTCTTTTCTTCCTCTAGTTCTTCCCACCCCAAATCCTTTCAAGAAATTTTAATTAATGGCCCCTTCTGAAGCCCATGGAAGTCAAAGATCTAAGGATACCCACTAGTTCTTTGAATGATACGTTAAGTTTTGAAGGGGTTAGATTCCTAACTCATGATATCCACGTCTAAAAAGTGTCTTGATAATAATATGAAGTTGACCATGATTGGAATTTCTTACTGCAAACAATAAGCAAAAGAAGAGGGAAATTGTACAGCAATAACGGAAGAGCTCTCAAGTCCTGTCAGTTGCTGCTTCATCCTTTACTCTTTAAAACAGAGTAGAGAGAGTTGGCCAAATGTATGTAGCAACCTTTTAAACTCTCAAAATTTGTTTTCAAAGCACTTAGATCCTTTTGTTGAGTTAATTTGGGACTCTCATCCTCACATTGGTCCTGAACAATACCAGAATGTGTCAAGGACATGGTCCTTGTGGGGATTTCATCACCAGCGCAGAAATACAGATGGGTGAGTAACTCCCCATACCCATTATATTAACCCCCCTCTGCCCTTCTTCCATATAAATAGTAGCCTCTCGTTTAACCCTCCACACTGAAAAAATCACTCCCAGAACTACTGCCTCAGGAGACCAGTATCCATGGAAACAATATTTCAAAATGCCATTAAATAAACTTCTCTAGCACTGTCGTGCAATTCCTAGAAGGACAGTACAGTAGCTCCCATCTAGCTACCTCTGCAATGCCCAAGCCCCTCATCTCTGCTGGGAGACAGCACTTGTAGGAATCACTGTACTGTCCTACACTGTGCTTGTAGGAATCACTTGATCACTGATCAAGAAGATACTGCCTCATCTAAGCTAAGACAATGTATATGGGAAACAAAGCAAAATGTGCTGCCTATGGGCTGGTCAGCAGCCTTGTTTTCAGAGATGCTCGGACCTTCCCAACAGTGCCTACTGTGTGCCGTGCGAGTGCTGACAGGGGAATTGACTGGTGCACAGATACCGTGCCAGCTCTCTTCAGGACGGTGAGCTTCTCCCAGCACACACAGGAAAAAGACAAGAACTGAGGACATAAAACTTTGTGTATCGCTGTGGCTCAAAAGAACAATTCAGTCAAACTGCTGCCTCCTTCAAATCACAAGAGTAAAGTGAGCTTGGGTTGCCTAACACTCACCTTGGACCTAAAGAAGAGCTCTGTCTAAGTGCAAAAACGTCTCTCTCGCTAACAGAAATGAGCCCAATAAGAGAGATTACCTCATTCACCTCCTCTCTTTAAACTCTGGTGTCAGATTTTCTAACAATGCTTATTTATAAGCATTATCGATAACAGATAGGTAGGCCAATGACCTGAGTTTGCAACACAAAATTCATTTTCAAATTTGTGAGTATTTTATGAGATAAAATTATCTGCAATTAGAAATGCCTTTACATAATGCAGAGATTTAAAGTATATTAAAATGCCAGGATGAATTCGAGCAATCTGAGTTGTTCTACAGAAGCAAAAAGCCATCTTTATAACTAATCAGGTTGTGCTGCACTACTGTCAATAACAAGATTAAGAGTTGGGGCATCCAGCCTACAGATCTGAAATAGGAAAAGTACCCAGTAATAAGATTAGAAGCGCAGATAACATACACAGAACTATAACGCAGATGATTAACAGACTTCAAAATACTACAGTCACTAAAGCAGGATGGTGACACATTCCTATCCATTCACTAGTAAAGTTTTGAATCCACTTAAACGCTAGAACAGAGCTGCCTTGGCTCTGCAGTGAGGAATTTCAAATTAAAGCTATGCAAATATTGTGATGACAAAGGTAATTTTCTGTAATTACAATCTCCTTCTAAGCACTCCCACCTTTTCAAAAGGCTGTATGCTAGTGAGATTGTTTTCAGTCAGGAAGCAGGGGAAAATACACTGCAGTGTGTCTGCCCACGTTTTCGTCTTCTAGTGGCAGATGAGCAACTTATATGGGTATTTAAGAAAGTGGGTGGTAACACAGCAGTGATACAAGCTTACAGAAATCTGAAGCTGTGTCAATCAGACAAGCAATGATCGTCTGTTTCAACACCTCCACCCACTTCATATCTCGAGAATACTTGTAAATGATTATAAATGAAAACCTCTAAAATAAGGACTGTACTGACGCACGCTACCAAGCAAATGTATAAGATCCTCATTCACTGGAAACCATGTATTCTGTTAACCACACACTGTTTTCACTGCAAATCACGTGTGAACCCAGATCCAACTCCTCTCTCTTCCCTGCCCTGTGTACTAGACACTAACAATACAGGAAGTAAGTTAGAAACATGTCTCTTTCCATAATTCATCGTGTATAGCCATACAGTGGACACACGCCATTAATCTGTATACAAAGCACATATATCGTCTTTTATGTACTAAAATAAGTGCATTCCTCTTTGTATTTATGGCATGGATCATACCTAAAGCTGTTACAGTGCCTTGCTGACAGCTAATAAATACCTCTTTACAGCAACTCCAAAACCCTACAAAAGAAATTTCCAAGATACAAGGTGCAGGGAAGAACAGACAGGAAAATACTGAAAAGTCCCATCTCATAGAAGTATGTGCAGGACCTCAAGCCAAAGAAAAACAGTTAAAGGGGTTGAGCCTTACCTGGGGGGTTCTGGAAGAACTCGGACTGCTGGCTGCTGAAGACACCATGCTCACATTGGGGTTCATACTCCTCTCTCTCTCGTCCTGATATATACGATCCCGCTCTGTGTCAGGCAGGTTGAGAAAATTCTGCATTGCTCTCAAGTTTACCAGGAGGGATTGGGAAGCTGTCCTAGGGTCTTCTTCTTTACGCAAGATCTCTGACAGCAATCCCTGGTTCAAAAAATTAAAAAAAAAAGCCAAGTCATGTGTTGTTTTTTTTTTTTAATTTGTTTGGTATAACCATGCGGGTTGCAATGCTGAGAACCTACATAAGATTCCTAATGGTTCTTAAGGGGAAAGAGGGAACAGTGCTTTGTGGGAAAGTGCTTGTCTTCTGAGAGCTGATTTATTTTGGGATTGTCCTATTTTAACTCTGTAATAATAATCAGAACGCAGGGATGTGGGATAGGATGGTAGAATAGCAAAACTGCAATTACCACCAGGTGCCTTCTGAAAATATTTTAGGGATGGTTATATTGCTCCCTCTCCCTGTTTGAAGCTGGGAACACTTGGCAGTCCTGTTCCTCTTTACAAATCTGCCAAGTTTGGTAAATTTAGTTCCGACATTTAAACAGCGCAGGAGGTTTATTAGAAAAACCCAGCATTTGGCTGAGTTTGGATATTACAGTCCATTCACTTTAGACTGGATGATTTTTTTATAATAGGAGAGAATGCCACAACTATGAAAGCTTTAGATCCTGTCTTCTGGGACTGGTTACTTTTATCTTTTATTTGTTGCATCATTTAAAACGTCATAACATTCATCCAGTATTTACAAAACTTTCATGCCAGCAGGTAGCCAGTACAGCAGAGAGCAGGAAGATGTAGGGACACAAAAGTGTCAATGCCACCATGCACAGACCTAAGTGATTTGCAGGATCAGAGCCTAAGACAAATAGCAATTTATTAGTTCATACAAGATGCCCCGCTGTCCTCTAAGGGCCATATTATATCTGACACCAGCTTATAGATGTGTGTTTCGCTTCCACCAGGTAATACTATTGTAACTTCCTTCAACATGCGGGTTTAAATGTATTCACATACAATCAAGAAGCAGAGAAGCATCAGACTCACAGCCAAAAGATGTTCAATTCAGTTTTGGGCATGCCGGTCAAGAGGCTCAGATTGGAGATTTCAAAGTATTTAAAAGGCAGCTCTGTTCTACAAAATTCATACACCCTGCCCACCTAGCATCTATTGAACTAAAGCATTACACGCAGAAATACTGCCTAGAGAAAAAAGCTTTGCTCCTGAAAATTCCACTACATAGCTAATGAAGCTGACCTAAAGCCAGTACCATTTAAGGGTCAATATTTACCAACTGAATACTGGAGGAAACTGGAGTACCTCAGATATAACTGTGTGGTAACTGTTGACAAAAATATACCTCACAGTTACTTTACAGTTATGGCCCAGTGAAATCACATTACAGTTACAGTCAATCTTACTTCAGTGCTCTTGTCATGAAGCCACATAGCTAGAAAACCTGAAATATTTACTCTTGGCTTATTTTCTCCGCTCACATCAAATAGTCCCCAACTCTTGTTGGACATTTCCAAGACAGTTGACAAGTAACCAAAAGCCAATGTTTTCCAGTGTTTATTGGTCTTATTCACTACACTTATTGACAAAACCAACAGTCTAGAAAAATACGCTCCCGTGTCTGCTTACATCTGCTCACACACAGCCAGAACACACACAGAAGAGTTATGCTTGAACCATAATCTGTTATGGCAAAAACTGTTGTCCACGGACTTCTGGTGGTCCCCAATGAGTTGACTGATCAGTGTCTTTCCTTAAAAGAAGCTAAAAATACATTTTCCTAATGTTATTTTCGCAAAGCCTTACATTGCATATAGGACAAAGTTGGGGCCATGCAATGAGAAGTGGAGGATGGTCTGTGAGCAATCAGTCTATTGAGATGAGATCTAACCTATGGAAAAATTCAAAGACCCTCTAGTTCTTGCTTTCATTACCCATTGAAATCACTTCCAATATCATGTATCTTATAATTGGTATCACTGTAACAATTTATTAGAGACCGTACAGTTTGGGGCCATTTCAAAATGCTTTTCCAGTTTTCTAGGCTAAAAAGCCCAGGGGGAGATTAACTGAAAGGGGGATGGATGTCCTAGAGGTCTAACATGTGGTGTTTCACCTCAGTCCTTTGCCTTTCCAAGGTACATATAGCCAGTCTCTGCATTTTTCCTTTAAAGTCAATGGAAAACTATCCAAATTGGATTTTAAAAATTAATACAAAAATTTCCAAGTTCCCTGACTCTTGATTCTTTGTCTGTTTGGGGGATATACCAGAAACAAATAAAAACAAAAACCTCAACTTCCAAATACTGTGTGATTTGGGGATTTTTTTCCCCTTATGCTCCTCTTTCTTCTCCCCAATGCCTGGCTGATTTGAAAAAGAAACTTATGAGCAATGGGAGTGTTCTCCAAGACAGTGGTTCTCAACCTTTTTCTTGCTGAGTCCACTTACTCACCGCAACTTGCTATAAAGAACTCCACGTCCCACCTGTGCCACAACAAGTGTTTTGCTGCCTATTAAAAGCCAGGACTAGCACAAGGGATCTATGAAGCTAAATTGCTTAGGCTTCATCTTCAGCCCCAAGACACAGAGCTAGGGCTTTCTTCCCTAGGCTCCAAGCAAATATAATGCCAGGCGTGTTTGGTGGAGCCCCTGAAACCTGCTTGCAGCCTCCCATGGGGCTCCAGACCCCTGGTTGAAAACCACTGCTCTAAGACAGCTCCCATTGTTTCACGCCAACCGCTGCACGTCTGAATGTACGGTCTAATTGTAAAAATGGAGCTCAGACACATACATGAAAGTGCATCAGCAACTCTTTCCAAGCGCAGTCACTGACTCCTTATGCAAATCAGGTATTTGTATGTCCAAGTGGCTCTGTCGATGCTTAAAATTTGAAATGTAATTTTCAGACAAGCAATTGAGGTAACTGAGTTCACATCATCCAAGACAGCTTCAACTTTGAAAAGCTGATCTCTCTCTCTCTCTCTTTTTTTTTTTTTTAACTGATTTCCACTCACACTCGTGTATGCGGGAAATCGGGCCGTGCAAATGCATCCTGGGGTTCTGTACTTTTCAAAAGAGGAGGATGGATGCATTTGGCAGCCTTATGAGCTATGCGAATAGCAGATAAATAATGAGAAATGACTAACTCAGAAGGAAAGATCCCACTTCCTTCTAAGACTGAAGAGAACAATATGATGCAGTGTATCAGTAAACAATGCCAGACAGAGCGCAAAGTGACAGAAGAGAAAATACAGTAAAATATCTCGAGAGCAATAACATTTACATTAATATAATTCTGAGCTACCAGAGTACACACAAAGTAACCAGCAAGTAACATTATGAAAAATAAAGTGATACTTAATAATCTGTTCAGCCTTTTTGTCACCTGCAAAACATTAGGCTTTCAATATGCAAAACATCTTCCTTCCAGGAAAACAAATGATCGTGATTTCACTTAATTGTAATTTAATGAGGCATAATTTATTTTTTAAAATGATATACACCAGGTGTGTGGTGAGGAAAGAAGCCCAGCCAGACAAACCCTAGTGTTTCTATTTTTGAGAAAAGCCTAAAGCTAGCCAAAGACTGTTTTCATTTCTGCAAATTATGTTTCTGCTAGAGGGGGCTAAGGAGGGAAACCCACAGCATTCATACATTTGTTATAAAATTCCGATGGCTAAATTAGCTCATTCCAGCATACATACATTTCCCATATAAAAAAATACACGTACATACACACTTGGCAATTTGCAGAGTAACTAGCTGTGCAAACTTAAAGGAACATTTCAAGGCCTGTATGCTCTAAATTGAACTTAAATGAATAAACAGATATTCTACCTCCAAACAGAATACTTAAGATCGTTTTAAAAATGGATATTTTGATAGTAATTGCGCTTCTTTTTCTGCCACAGTGTTTACTGGTTTAAAATCATCTCAAGTGATGAATGATTAAATAGATGTAACACTAAATGTAGGCCCTGTTCATAAACATCATACACATTATCTGAGACCAGGCATCATACCTGAGCACAGCTTGGCTTATGTTTGGGGCTTATACCAAGCACTGCATTTTATTACACACTGTGTCAAGAACTGGTTATAAAAAACAAACAGGGGTAGAAAAAGCAGAAAAACGATCAAAATGTAAAACTTTGAAAGTATTTAAGTCTAGGATAATTTTGTCAGTTTTTTATTATGCGAGTTGAGAACTAGGTCACACAACTTTACTAAGGGTTTCAAAGACCGAGACTGTTGATATTTTGCACAAACCCTATGGAGCCTTGTTTGCGATTTTATTTTATTTTGGTTTTGCTATTGACAGAATCTCCATGCTGAACTACTGGAACCTAACAATGAAATTCTGTAATTGACTGTGGGCAAGCAATCAGAAAGCTGATATGTACTTCCTAAGAGGATATCCACAGTGGAGGCAGCAGGAGCTGTGGGTGCACCACACCTCGGAGGATTGGGGTGAATCATGGTGGCAGGGGAAAGGGCGGTGACTTAGGTCTGCCTGGCTCAATCAACAGAGGCAGACAGTAAACTGTAATTGCTAGGCAGCCTATGGCCTTAATCCAATGCTGAAGTCAACAGGAATCTTTCTGCAGTCTTCCTAACGGGCTTTGGATCAGGACCTAGAACTGATAAAGGACTCAATGGAAAGACTAGTTCTATTGTCAGTGGCTGGAAAAAAACTAGTTTTTTTTTAATACGCTAAGCATGTCAAAAGCAGTTTCTGTTGAAGCTGGAAATTAAATTGTCATGTAGGCCAAATCAATGCATAGGGTCCGCAGGGGCAAATAGAATCATCAAAGGCTAAAAGCTCCAAATAATGCTCAGAATAAGCAAAACCTCAGGCTTTAGCATCACAGCCTGGGTGGAGTTGAACATGAACAGATCCAAAACCTCTTTTTCTCAGACGGTTTTTAAAGTTTGGATAATTTTTTCACACTACGTTTTCTTTTTTGTGCAAGAGCAGCAGGGGAAAGTGCTGAGGAGCTGAGAGTATGTCTACACAGCAAAGAAAAGCCAGTTGCTGGCCTGGGCCAGCTGGTGTGAGATCCCAAGACCTGAGCTGTAGGGCAGTTTCACTCCTGTGTGGAGTTCCAGCATTATGACCCAGTGGGAT